TACTCAATGAAGAAACATTTCATTACAATGTTTTGGAAAGCTCTCGAGGTCAGCTACAAGAATATGTAATAAAAAATAGGGGATGCCGTTTAAAAAAATTGAGGTGACTTTCATGTGACTTTCAAATAATTCTTCAAGGTCAAAGCAATGGTACGATCTTATGGTCCCCTCGAAACCAAACAACTTTTGTCTGAAAAATTTTTCTCTCCCGTGCTTGGTTTTCGACATATTCGACTGGATGGATTAAAATGGTCCACCCTGTATACACATTGTAATGTGGCAATTTTAAAAGAACGCCAGGCACTCAAATTTGGTGAGGAAGACGGAAATGCGCTTCCAGGCTGATCAGTAGATGTTGCGTCCTAGCCGTAAGGCGAATGGGAAGTGAACCCTGAACAACCTATTTTATGTAAATATGTCATACAATCGGCAAATAAATCGGCGATCGCGAGAGTAGGTCAGTGGAAGAAGAGAGGAGATCAAAACAAAAGAAGATTTGCTACCGTTATTTCAGAAGCCAGATTCGAAGAGGAGATTATATCTGAGGCCGTATCTTCCAGGTGAATCGCTTCTATCATTCATCACAATAATAAAAGACCGACAGGATGAGCCAATACGATGGAAATGTTTCAGAGCCGGAGCCTGGGTGCTGCTGAAAAATGTACTGGGGGCGCTGACAGTTGCTGCCGAAGTGGACCGACCGCGAGCTGACGCGAAGAAGCCGCGAGGACGGAGTCGATCGACACCGCGAACGAGCGGAGGACAACCGCAGCTGAAGCTCAACGCTGGCGAGCGCATCCTCCGTGACCCTCCTCCAAACAAAGCGAAGACACCGCGAGACCGATGATTCGAAGTAAACAATCGATGAGCTGCCGAATCGATGAGTTCCTCCAAGGACGATTCAATATTTTCGGAGGATGGTGAAACAAAGAGCCGAAAATCTCGTCCAAACAAGGTTAAAAACTATTGAGATTCGTCTTTGAAACCAACCAATAGAAGGCCAATAGGAGGCCGAAAGCTGTCGGGAATAGCGATTCGAACCTGAGGATAAAATACGGTCTCAGCGACTGATTGAGAGTTCTTGTGATTTGTAAGTCGCTACGCAAAGGACATGATATCCGTAAGGTCAATACCGACTCAACCAAGGGATCCCGTAAGACTGCCGACCATTTACTGTGAACCTGGAGGAATCGCCGCAGTCAGCAGCTCGACAGCGCCTGATTCGCGACAACTTTTTTGGTGAGTCCATTTCATTTTGGTGAACTAACTTTTAGCGATTTTTAGTGTACGGGTCGCGAATCGGAAGACGCGTCGAAGAGCAGAGCCCCGGCCATCTACCCGGGAGAATAAGGGTTCGCGCTCCTCTCGCGAATACGAGAGCTCCAATTTTGTAAAACTTAGTGAAATCCGTAAAAAGTAAAAATCTGCCATTTGACTACCAAAGAGCGAGCACACCGAATAACGAGCGTATTAAGATGTAGCCGTGACCGTTAGATGTCGCCGGTCACGACCGTTAGATTTTGCTGTCTAATTCATGCGTCGCAAATGCGAACAAAGATTTCTTGTATTTTGCTGCTGATCAATAAAGGCCTAGCTATTGTATATTGTATAACATTGTTGCAATTATTTCTCGAGAAAACACCAATCTTCTAACACCTCCAGCTTATCGCGAACTAGTCCCTCTACCGCAGAACAAGGCTGAGTTGTCGGTTTTGATAGTGGCTTGGGTGGAGGACGCACGAATCTCGTCGGTGAAATACTTTTGATGTTAATGCTTAGTGTTTTAAGTAGTATGGTTATCCGTATCAAGTAAAAACCCAAGTAAAAACCTACGTATTTATGCGGCCTATTTACAGACCACATTATATCTAGTACTCACGTACAATAATGAGGACGCCCAAAATTTTTTGGATCAAAAAAGTTCTCAATACATTTTGATTTCGTGCATTAAGCACATTTAAAAATTGCAATATCATGACAGAAGTCACAAATAGGATCAAAATTTTTGAAGCAAATATCCGCAAGTATCTCGCATTTAGGTGGCTCCTATTCCATGTAGCCGCTCTTGTATCATGCATATTTAAGAAGTGTTACGAACCTGGGAGATGAAAATTGATTATGAGTAAGAGATTAAACTTCTAGAATATTATTTCTCATATGCAAATTTATATTATAATCATATAATGTAATTATATCTGAAAAATGTTTTACGAAATTTTTCTACGGCCTGAATATATAAACATCCAATGGCTGAATTATACTAGTTGTTCCGGCAGGAATCGTCAAAACATTTATATCTTTTCCACATTTATCAATGGTGTTAAATTGTTTTTGTTCTGTCTCATCCATGAGTCTAAACACAGGACAGATTTTTCACTAGTATTAGGTAAGTAAATCTATTAAAATCATCTATTAGGACCTTAACTTAGTTTCCGCCCGCAAATGTTAGATGGCAATGCAAACAATTCTAGTAGTCATTACTAACGAAACAGGTAGTTTGTGATTAATTTCGACATTTCTCGATAACATTCAGTCAGCATACACAATTATTTTCCTAAACAACAATTTCTTTTGCTTTGTGAAAAATGGAACGCGATAAAGTGTTTTTTCGACATGTGCTTTTGCACTATTTTGATTTGAAAAAAAGTGTA